CGCCACCCGCGAGGATATGGACGCCGCTCTTCACGCCGAGCGCCCGCCCGACAAGATGCCAGACCTTCCTCACTGCCTCGCCAGCGACCTCTGCGTGCCGAAAACGTTCAAGGAGGCCATGCGGTCTCAACATGCAGAATTGTGGAATGATGCAGTCGGTAGAGAGTTTTCGGTTTGTTGGATGCAGGAACTTTTAGTCCGGTGTAGCAACCAGTAGAAAACGCCATCAATGCTAAGTGGGTCTTTAACTGTAACGCAGACGAGTACGGATGGCCGACGAAATTCAAGGCAAGACTTGTAGCGCGGGGGGACATGCAGAGGGCATCGATTGATTTTGGATAATTGTTTGCACCCACCGTTTCAGCGCCTAGTGTGCGCTTGTTAGCAGCATTAGCATGTGAGCAGAATCTTGACTTGTTGTGCCATTTCGATATTCAGCAGGATATTGTGCAGTCTGAGCTCGGTGAGGATGTTTTCATGCGCATACCTCAGGGGTGTGGAAGGTTATCTGGGCTGATCGTGAAGCTGTGCAAGAGTCTGTATGGTTTGAAGCAGGCGTCACGACATGTGCACCTGACGAGGTGTTCGCTACTTTTAGGTTTTTGCAGTGTCTGGCAGATGCATGTGTTTTTCGATTGATGGAGGAGGGACGTGTGATCATGATCATCGTGGTCCACGTGGATGACATTTTTGCCGTAGGGCAGAAGGAGAGGTGTGACAAGTTTGGCATTGATCTCAACGCGATGGTCCCCGTGAAGAACCTTGGAGAGTTGAGGTGGTACTCCGCGTGCTTTTACGAGAGAGACGTAGAGAGAGGACTGTTGAGGTTTCGCAGCAGAGGTTTGCCGAGGAGTTGGCANGGATGACATTTTTGCCGTAGGGCAGAAGGAGAGGTGTGACAAGTTTGGCATTGATCTCAACGCGATGGTCCCCGTGAAGAACCTTGGAGAGTTGAGGTGGTACTCCGCGTGCTTTTACGAGAGAGACGTAGAGAGAGGACTGTTGAGGTTTCGCAGCAGAGGTTTGCCGAGGAGTTGGCAGCAGAGTACGGCATTGAGTGGGGGAGGAGCGTGCCCTTGCCTGTGAGCGTTAAGCTCACCGACTTTGACGAGAACGAAATGTGCGCTGATGTCCCTTTTCGCGAGTTGGTAGGATCTCTGATGTGGTTGGCCACTCAAACAAGGCCGGACATCGCGAACGCAGTACGAGCAGTAGCGCGGTATTGTGCATCTCCCAAGATGGTGCACTGGAAGGCAGCACTCGGTATTTTAGGGTACGTACGGAGGACGAGTTGGATGGGGATTACATTTGAGAGGGGAGTGGTGACTGGGATGAGCATGCAGGTGTTTGTGGATGCCGACTATGCAAGCAAGGCGACAGACCGTAGATCGGCGTANTATTGTGCATCTCCCAAGATGGTGCACTGGAAGGCAGCACTCGGTATTTTGGGGTACGTAAGGAGGACGAGTTGGATGGGGATTACATTTGAGAGGGGAGTGGTGACTGGGATGAGCATGCAGGTGTTTGTGGATGCCGACTATGCAAGCAAGGCGACAGACCGTAGATCGGTGTCAGGAGGGCTAGTGATGTGTGGGGGAGGGTGTGTGACTTGGTTTTCGAGGACGCAAAAGTACGTTACGCTTTCCACCACGGAAGCAGAGTATGTGGCAATTGCCGATGTCTTGAAGGAAGTGTTGTTCCTGAGGCAGGTGTGGCGTTTTATGTTGCCAGATGCAGGTATGCCGTGCATCCCGGTGTTCGAGGATAATCAGGGAGCGATTCAGATTGCGCACAACCCGATCACGAACTCCAACTCGAAGCACATCGATGTACGGCATCATTTTATCAGGGAGCTGGTAGAGAGGAAGGTGATCTTAATTACTCATGTGCCGACGCCATTTCAGCATGCAGATTTCTTGACGAAGGCTATCAGCAAGGAGTCTTTTGCGTTGCACCGTGACTTTGTGATGAACTTGCAGTGTAGGAAGCGTTTTGGGGTCGATTCCATTTCTGTAAGTGAAGAGAAAAAGAGAGGAACGAGATTGGACAAGAGAAAGAGAGAGTCTGGTGAAGGTGGTAAGAGTGTTGGAGTTGTGGTGGGATTTTTCTTGTCATTGTCTTGGAGGACTTTTTCTTGTTTTGGAGATGATGGTGAAGAATAGGGTTAAATTGGTTATTGCCGAAGCATGACGATGCATGCGAGGAGGGGGGCTATTCGATATGTTGGAGGTACTCGTAGCATAGTATGACGGGATATCTTCGGTCCGCGGAAATTGCAGTGATGAGATGCGAAGGATTCGGAACTTTCTGGGTATTTTCCTTGGAAGTGACAAGAGTTTGATGGAGGTTCAGAGAGATCCGTTTGGTAGGTTGAGCGTGATGAGCGGGACGCGTGCTTGATGCCGTAACAGATCTACTAGCGCGAGCACGCCCCCGAAGAATACTACACGTTTTCCCACCACGTTTTCTACAATCTACGGCCTGTCATGGCCGAGCTGCTCTAAATTCCCAACACACAGAACTGAGCCACCCGAATTATTCATCACATTCAGCACCTCACGGCCCCAAACTTTGACATTGCCCAACAGCCCATGACATCA